GAGGCCCCGCCCACCGGAAGCCGAAGCGCGCACTCGCCTTTGTTCTCCTGCTTGAGCTCCTCCTGCAGCAGGTCTGTTTGCCTGTTGCCCAGCACGAAGGCGAGGAAAGAGAGGATGAGGGCGTTGAGGATGCCGATGATGGCCAGGATGTACGCCCAGCGCACCGAACAGTCCCCCAGGGAGTACTTCCCGGTCTTGGCCCCGCACATGTCCCGGATCGTCTCGGCGTCCCAGCCGTCGGGGAAGATCATGCAGCCCAGCACGAGGCACAGAGCTGAGGGGGCGCGAGCCCAGCCCCGCCGCGGTCAGGAAGGAAGAGAGAAGGGGATGATTACTCCTCAGAGCCCGAGGACCCCCAGGAACCCTCCTCACTCCGCTCGTCAACCCAAGAGCCTGTTAACCGAGTCCTGTGGGTTCCAGAAACTCTTGGGCCTGGGATGACCTACTGCCTCCAGTGCCCTCTTCCGCCCGCATCAAATCAGCTCCTCCTCCAGGAAGCCTTTCTGGAAATAAGAGAAAATAGCAAGCCACTGTCACCTCCTGTAGCTTCCTTTAGCCTCTTGGCCATGCTTACCCGCTCCCATCCTCGTCACTATTTATTTATTTAGGTCGTTCATTCAACAAGTGTATTGAGCGCTGTTTTCCTTTCCGTCAAGGCGCTGGAAATACAATTGAGCACTGTGCTCAGAGGAGACTGGGGTGAGAACAATGGGGTTTGAGCCTAGTTTTTTCACTTACTCATTGTATGACTTTGGGGGTGCCTCCCGTCTGTGTCTGTACGATGGAAATCAGAATGAGTACTTACCTCACAGGATGGTTGTGAGGATTAAATGAAGTAATGCTTGTAAGACACTTAGCACAGTGCCAGACATTCACTCAAGTAGTATCTATTGAAGGCCTACTGTGTGCCAGGCACTGGACTAGGTGGGGGGCAAGGGTACTTGGATTCTAACCTCAGGACGCTTGCACTGTAGGGGGGTGGGGGAGAGATCCATTAAAGGAAAACCTTAAGAGAGCTGGGGCTCAAATCCTGGCTCAGCTCTTTCCTACATGTGTGACCTAGAGCCAGTTCTGTCGCCTTTGAGGCTTAGTTTCCTCATCTGTATAATGAGATAATGATGGCAATCAAGTGATTGTAAAGATCACAGGAAATGTGAAGTGCTTGGCACAGTAAGTCCTGGATAAATGTTAGGTAGTCAGAATGATAAAAATAAACTAGTCATAATGGTGAAAATAATAATCACATAAATAAGGAAATAATTGGGGAGGAGGGGGCTTGGTTTCAGATGAGGGGAGAAAGGGCGAGGCCAAAAAAAAAAAAGTGTTTGAATCAAAGTGGGCCCCTGATGATTCCTTCACTGGCACCCACTCCCTCTGGGTTTAGTGACCCACTTGGGTCAATCTCTCGGGCTCTCTCCAGTGTTTAGCCTAGTGGGTGGGACCCAAGTGTGAGCCAATCAGCACATTGCATTCCTCTGGTAACTGATTGGCTCAGAGAGGGGCACACGCCCCACACAACCAATCAGAGCCAACCAGGCTCATTAGGCCCAGAGGCTGTGACCTGCGCTCCTCCCCGGCGGTGCTAGTGGCCCTGTGGCCTGTGTGGTTCGGTGTTGCCCTTGTGGTGTCTGATGGTCCTGCCAGGGACGGGTTACTGCATCTGAGGCCCAAAGGTTCCACACCAATACCCAATGAGCGCTTGCTTAACCCGAGTTTTAGATGACAGCGGTGACAAAGGGGGGGAGGGAGTCAGTTCTGTCCACGAGGCCCATCTAGTTCCCAGGGTAGGGAGGGGACCCTCAGCTTTGCCACCTTCCTCCTGAGGCCCCAGACTTCTGCCTGACAACAAGGTGGAGGCCCTCTCTCCCTCCCTTTCTCGTTTGGCCTCCTCTGGTCTCACCCGCCCTCCCTGCGACAGAGAGTGTCCCCGCTGCCCCTAGGTTATGTTTCTCAAGCTGATGCGGGGCTCCAGCACAGCACGTGAGCTCACACACATTCCAGCAGGACTGCCTCCCCTCTGCATTGCCCCTCTGCTTAGCTCGCCTCCTCCAACAGGACGCTCAGCTCCGGTGGAACACCCGGCCACCTAAGGGCTGGGAAAAGAGTTTCTGCAAAGGGGATAGCAAATGCAAAAAGCCCTGAGGCGGGAGCGACCTGGGCGAGTTAAAGAATTCAGCAAGTTTGGAGATGCCCGTTAGACACTCAAATGGAGAGGAAAGCTGGGGTGGGGGGTCGTTGCTGGAGATGTAACTGGGAGCTGTGAGCATGCAAATCCCTGGGACTGGACTTGAAGGAAACTGAAGAGAAGGCTCCGGACTGAGCCCTGGAGTGCTCCTGCATTTACGGGGCAGGAAAAGAGGAGGGGCCTATGGAGAAAGTCTGACCCATCTATCTCCTTAAATGTCCCTGACACTTCGCAAGGCCCTCCAGGTCCCCATCGTAGACGGGAGGAGAATGAAACCAGGGCGGGGAGAGGAGAGGGGAGTGGA